CTATCTATCTATCTATCTATCTATCTATCTATCTATCTATCTATCTATCTATCTATCCCCTGAGATCCGGACTCTTCCCACTCTCTCGGCCTTCCGAAAGTCTACCAAGACCTGGCTGTTCCGGCAGGCCTGGGGCTGTTGATCCTTGATTGAGTTCCAGCCCCACTAAGAATTGAGTGTATGCTGTGTTCTTTTAACTTGCTTTATCTTTGTATTTTAAATTCTTTTAGTATTTTTAAATTGTTTTATGTAAGCCGCCCAGAGTCCTTCGGGATTGGGCGGCATACAAATTCATTAAATCTTGAATACAGGTGCTTGGTAACCAGCCGGAATATCGGATTGTTGAAACATTCTCCCCCCTTCCCCCATGCAATTGTGATTTCCAACCTTCCCAGTTGGCTTCCCACAAGTGAAGTCAGTGGAGGAGCTGGCAGGAAGTCAGAAATCCTGATCTTGCGAGATTCTCACTTAACAACCCACATGGTCTTGGCTTAACACCAGCAACATGGCAACTTGTTGGGATTGCCATTGCTAAGTCACGTGACATCATGCTTTACGACTTAGCAGTAGAAATTCCGATCCTAATTACAGTCCTTAAGTGAGAACTACTTAGATACAAATGTCTACATTATTGTATTTGTAGCTTGGGCTCATCTAAAGAGGTCAAGAGGAAGACCAGACGTTATTCCATTTTATCCTCAAAATAATCCTAATTTATTCTAGCCATTTTTGTGGGCCTCAGCTGCCTGACTGGACTCTCGTATCTATTATTTAACACTTAGCATTTTATAGTGTCAGATTTCATATTACAGAAAGCCAATTATCATTTAAAAAAAGACGTGACTGGCTTTGCGGTGTTTTGTTCTGTTACAGTTTAGTCATTTATGCCGGCACATGTTGAATAAAGAAAATAGCTATAAATGCATCTGAATAAATTTAGAATTGCAGTTGAATTAACAAACAAATAGAATTTCACCTCATTTGTTATGCACTTGGGGGGGACAGAAACCATGTTAGTCATCGGCGTTATTTTGTCTCTTAGTGGGTTCTGAACATCCCATATAACAATCGGAATGCTCTTAATTCCGTGATGGCGAACCTCTGGCACACGCGCCACAGGTGGCATGCAGAGCCCTCTCTGTGGGTACGTGAGCCATCACCCAGCTCAGCTTGACTGCACATGCACGCACGCTTCCTGCCGGCCCGCTGGTTTTTGGGTCTGTGCTGCACATGCACAAGGGGTGGGGTGCACGTGCGGGGGTTGAATGAGCACGCGTGGGAGGGTCGGGGGACACATGGGGGATCACACGTGCATGTGCAGGGAGGCTGGAGGAGCGCAGAGGGAACACACACATGCATGGTGCGCACACAGGGGTGCGTGCATGCATGTGGGGGGTGGGGCGCGCACGGGCCGCCCATGCACACATTGCATTATGGGTTTCAACCAGTTCGCGGTGGTCCCCGCGAACCGGTTGGTCAGCGAACCCGGACGTAAGTAACTTCCGGGAACGGCGAAGGGCCCACCCGCCTGCCCGCGCTCCTTACCGGTCTTTGAAGGCTTCTGCGTTTCCACGCAGGCACATGGCACATNCATCCTTACCTTTCACAGAGGCACTGAGTTTTATGAATAGGAGCATGATAGTGTAGAATAATCATATCCAAGGACCAGTGGTGGGTTTCAAAAAATTGTTGGAACCTCTTCTGTAGGTGTGGCCTGTTTTCCGGGTCCACTAGTGGAACCTTTTCTAACCAGTTCGGTAGATTTGATGAACCGGTTCTACCGAATAGGTGCGAACTGGTAGGAACCCACCTCTGGTTCCCCACCCTTCCTTCCTTCCTCCAAGAGCAGAGAGATTGGAGAGAAAGAGATTTCAAGAGAATAAGCAGTTTGTGTAACGTGCTGGCAGTTCTCAGCCATAGGTTACCAATGCAATCACATTGCATTCCATGCGCACAAGACAATAAGCACGCACCTGAGCATTCCAAAGGGAATGGTTTTCAGGCATTAGTAGCCACTCAGCCTCCCGTGAATAAAACATGGCTTTCTAGAGTAACGGTTGAGCCAAAAGGCAGGTAAGGGCATTCGCTGTTATAGATCCTGCATAAATGTTTTTGAAATAATGTTTTATATGGGAACACACTGCATTGCCCTTCAGTTTGATTTTCATCGCAGTTTTGTATCCTTATTATGGCTCTTTAATTTTTAAAAGCAGACCTAATCGCAATTTATTTTCTGTAAATTAACTGAAATTGATCCTACTCATGATTTAAAAGTAAACACATAATGTAATAATTAGGAAGAAGGCTCCGGCTTTCTTATTCATCCTCTATAAATATGCAAAATACAAGAACTATTCATTAACTTATTTATAGCATTAATTTTCTTTTGTTTAAATATGAGGTTATTTCAATTGCATTTTGATTTATACTGCACACCCTTATTCCAAGTTCTGAATTCCTGGATTTTTTTATGTGTTTATTGTTTTTTTAAGTAATAGATAGTTCTCATTCAACTTATTCAGAAACCGTTATAACGTATGAATGGTGCTCAGTGTAAAGGTAAAGGTTTCCCCTTGCACATATGTGCTAGTTGTTCCCAGCTCTAGGGGGACAGTGTTCATCTCTGTTTCAAAGCCGAAGAGCCAGCGCTGTCCGAAGACATCTCCATGGTCATGTGGCCAGCATGATTAAACACCGAAGGCACACAGAACGCTGTTACCTTCCACCAAAGGTAGTTCCTAATTTTTCTACTTGCATTTTTACATACTTTCGAACTGCTAGCTTGGCAGAAGCTGGGACAAGTAACAGGAGCTCACTCCGTTATGTGGCGCTAGGGATTCGAACCACCGAACCGCCGACCTTTCTGACTTGACAAGCTCAGCGTCTTAGCCAAAGAGCCACCACGTTCCCAGTGCTGTGACTGGTCCTCAAAAGTGCTGGCTGCTACAGCACTTTTGCTGTCATGTGATTGTCT